GAGGACTTATCTCTAAAAACAAAACGGAGCGCACGTTTGTTCACCAACTCTAACTTGTCAGCTGACTTCTTATTACAGAAGTGCCACGTTTCGGAGCAGTAATTAAAGTGTGGTAAAATGAAGGCTTTGTAAAGATCCCTTCTAGTCTCAAAAGACAACATTTTCTGCATCCTTTTTAACACAGCCACCTGTTGACTGACTTTTCTACATATTTTAGCAATGTGCTTTTCAAAATTCAATTTATCATCGATTGTCACGCCAAGAAGTTCCATTGTGTTGGATATGGGAAGTGGTGACTCCTCACACTTAAACACTGGTTCATCAGTTCCTTTGTGTTTTCCCAACACCATTGCCTGGTATTTTGAACTGTTCCTCTTCATACCATTACGCGCGAACCATATATCAGCACTAATAAGATCGTTGTTGATTGTTTCTTCAATTTTGGAGAGTTGATTGTCGGCGTAAAAGATTTGAGTGTCATCAGCGTAAGTGGACAGAGTGCACTTCTCGATGACATATGAAAGATCGTTCATGAAGATGTTAAATAGTAAAGGGCCGAGGATGGATCCCTGTGGTACACCATTGCAAATAGGTTGCCAATTGGAAAGTGTATCCCCTAGTCTCACTCTTTGGAATCGATTTGATAACTAATCTTTTATCAGGGTGGTTGTTGCTTCATCTGCTTCATATTCTTTTAATTTCAAAACAATCAGTTCATGAGGTAAGGTGTCAAAGGCATTGTATGGATATATCTTGTCTTTCCTAAGTCTGTTATGAGTCTACCGAGTAAACTGTTATTATCTTACCGATTCCATACTCCTACGAAAATATATTGCTGGCAGATAACCCAAACAAACACGTTGCAGCAAATACAAATCATCCTTCGCTAGGCAGGTGCCCATATTTGACTGGACAGAACAAACACTATGTAACAATATTTTATGTCTTCCTACCAACCACATGACGTTAATATCCAGTAGTGATGCTTTCAAAAGAAATAGAAAGTGCCATTTTAGTTTCATTTATTGTGAGGTAGTCTCTGACGTAAACATCGTTTGACAGATGAGACTTTCTGGCGCAGGTCGATTTTTTTCACAACTCACATCTCAAATATTTGAAAATGAAAAATACTGCGGTTAAGTTAATCCGAAGCAGATAAGATTACAACACCACTTCCAACTTGAAGCTAAAAGCTGGAAACAAGCAAAATTTAATTGTTAACAGCTTCTGTCTTTTGTGTAGATCTGCAGTTACCAATTAATTTTGGAAAGTAAATGTTGCTAATCAATCGGTGTTCACGCATGTCTACGAAGGATGATCTTAAAGTCTATTATTTCTTACTTGTTGCATGCCAGCCACGGGTCTTCTTAAGTCCAAATGACTCGAGTTGAGTAACACACCGAGGCTGAGTTCCTGAACCTGCAAAAAGAATTAGTTTCATTCAGTCAGCAATGTGAAATGGATCCTTCGAGGGCAGAACGGTCTTCTTTAGCAAAATAACTATCACTGCGGAACAAGCACTTTTTAGGAAAAAAAAAACCTTTACCTTTCAAATTAAGTCGGTGACCTAGTACACTTAATTCTTGGCAGCACACTATCTTGTTTTCCGCAGGCTTCTCCAGACAATTACCATAAGAGCACCGCTCGAGTGTTTCAAGACGTGAGCGACTGAGCAAGTCTCTGTCTCTCTTTAAAACTCCTTTCTCCTGACTTTCCTCGTCGACAAAGGTTTCCTCTTCCCCTGAAGACGAGCAATGTTGCGTTTGAAACATAAATGGATGAATTACACCCTCTCGGCTGGATTAAAATTCCTAGTCGAGAATTCAATTAGCAGCGCTCTCCTCGCCGCTGTTGTTCTAGTTTACATTGGCTGGGATCTAAGTTAGCATGCTTGACTGTTACTACGTCATAGTTACGTCATAACAAAGATGGCGGTTTTCAATTTAAAAATGGCGATTTTTGGAACGTGATTGTTCGCCACAAAAATGTTTTACCTCAAATGAATACCCTGTTAGCATAATGCAAGTCAGGAATTTTGATCTAGATGAACTTCCTCTAGACCGTTCTTTTAATTTACATAACCATATTCCAGAAAATGCTTGCAGTAGTTCTTAATTCTTTTAAGATATATTAACCGGAGAAAACTTCCCCTCAATTCAATAGCACATAAGGAATTAATTATTAAAACAACTTTTTAACCTTTTTCATTCTAACTGCGTTGTAATCAATCTTAAGTCAAGCAGAAAAATTCCGTATGATGCACGATCCTCGCAGTAGATAGCGCTATTTAAGCAATAGCGAAAATCAGACCTGAAAAAAATCAGGCCTGTACGGGATTCGAACCACTGACCTCTCG